TGGAACAGACCGCGGTGGGTGTTGATGGTCAACAATTCGCGCGACTCTGGGGCGACCTCGATCTGCAGATACGCGTCAGCTAGATCCAACTTGGCAAAGCAAGTGCCACCATTCAGCAGGGTGAAAAGATCAGCCGGAAGCGATAATAAAAAGCAATTCGGCGTCAGTGCGGCATTGAGACCGATGGAGAAGTCAGCACAAATGCGAATCGAGCCATTGGGCTTCTTAACCACAACGATTGGAGCGGCCCAGGCGGAGTAGGATACAGGAACCAGAACTCCCAATTCCTCTAGACGCTTCAGTTCAGCCTCGACAAGTGGTAGAGCTGCATATGGGACTGGTCGCTTTCGACGGAAGACTGGTTGACTTCCAGGAGACAGATGTAGCACGGCTTGAGTGTATGTGCAACGACCCAGGCCGTCTTGGAACACTGGAGCAAAGCGTTTGAGAATGTCCTTGGCTTGGTCTGCAAGCACAGCGGGAATCTGCACCTGACTGCAAACAACGCGGAGCGGCATATCGGCCAACCAAAGTTGTTCAATCCAGTCGAGATCAAGTAGGTTAAGGTCAGACTTGGTGATGTAGCAGATCGCGGTGATGCTGGTACCGCGGAACGACACACAGCATTGCAGTTGCCCAATTAGCTGTACGAGACCACCGCACGCGCTTGTGGCGGACTGGGAAGTCTGCTGGATCGTGGGGCTGCCAAGGGACTGCCAGAGTCTCTCAGAGATGATGGTGATACCTGAGGCAGTGTCCAGCTGTAGGCGTACTGCATGGCCATTGAGCAAAACGTCAACAAATTTTCTACGACCAGACGCATTGAGCTGGAAAGTGGCCAAGAGACTCAGAGAATTACCAACGGACTGGAGTTTGGACTTGCGTTTTGGCCGGAAACGATGCCTGGAATTAGGAATGGCGGGGGTCGGCTTGCCTTCAGAAGTTGGTACTGATTTGCAAAACCCATGACGGTGTCCCACCTGATTATAGCTTTGGCAGCGATGCTGGCGGAAAGTGCAATCCCGGTGGAAATGCCAATCGCCACAGTGCCGACAAGGGGATGGCGGAGATCTCGCCTTGGACACTTGCTTGGGCCGCGATTTGGTCGATGTGACCGAATGGACTGAAAAAGATGAGGCAGGGTTCTGAATCATTGCAGAGTCGTGCCTGAGATTGATCAGCGTTTGGCACTCTGCTGCCAGCTCTTGGAGTGTGATAGAGTTGCTCTGCTGCACTTTGGACAGGAGACATGTCCGGATATCAGCATCCTTGGGGGACTGGAGGCCGCAGATAAATATAAGGCATTTAATCTGGTCTTCAGGGAGAGAACCGAGTTGGAAACGCCCACATTCACGATTAACAATGGGCGCATATGTGATGAAATCATCGGAATCTCGTTTGCACAGTTGCAGACACTGAAATCGAGTGTTGAAGAGGGATGATTGCTCACCAAAAATCTGCGACAACGTCTCAACCGTGACCTTGAAAGCGACCTCTCGGGGATTCTTGGGGAGGATGAAGTTTGCATAACGCTCGTGTTCAGCCGGACCCAGTTTGCGAAGTAGGAGTCGAACCTTCCATGCATCGTCCTGGGCAGCCAGATCGACTGAAAACAAGTCCTCGTATCGTTTGTACCAGGACTCAAAGGTGATATGGGCCTGCGGGTCATACAGGAATTCAGTGATGCTGCTGGCAATGTGATCAACAGATTGTGAACCACCAGCCGCGCTTGATTGGCCCATGAATGAATTGGAAAGCTTGACGGTCAGAGCCTCCATCAGCTTCAGCTGCTGCTGCAACATCTGCTTCAAGTCAGCGTACTCGTCAGCCATTTTAGTATCTCACCTGCGTCGCCAGTTTGTTATGACCCGCCTGGTACGTGAAATCCTGTGGAGCGTATGCGCACTCGACCCTTGTCCCCAATACCAACGTGGCAGAGAAGGAGAACGCGACCGGCCACGAAACTGTGTATTAGGAAATTGCAAGTCAAAATGAACTGGAAGTGACGCGTATTTATAACGCCTTACGGTGCTTCGCCGGCCTTCGGCCCAATACCCTTCGGGAAGAACATTCGAGACGATCCGGTCGATAATTCGAATATGCTGATCGATCAGGCCCGCGAGGAAAAGCCAATGGAGAGGCGCCACGATTAAGATGACAGCGCAGTAGAGAAAACGCACGTTGCCTCCCGTGATTGGCTGGCTCTTGTTTTTGGGAGTGCCTACACTCCCAAAAATACCGTTAATTTTTCGACTGGGAGCATTGCTCTGGCTGTTGACATCGGATGTATTTTCTACAGTCTCCTTTTCACGTTGAGCTCCTTTTTTCGACGGGACCTAATCTACACCGTAATCGTGCGATATCCTTTAAAGCGGGAAACATTTAAAAAATATATAATTCGGATCTTGAAAGAGAGGCAACCGTCGTTTGGTCAGATATGTATTTGTGCAGCGTTCAGTCTATCTCATTTAGTAGTTTCTTTCATTTTGGAACAATTCCCTTTCCGGTACACTTTTTCCTCGGTTGATCGAAATTCTGTTTCGGAAAATGACTATACAGCCGAATAAGAACGCAATGAACACTTCGATCAAGAGGTCTGTGTGAACCTAGCCGGAGAACGCAAATACCATCCTCAGTAGTGATGAGGTCGAAGCATCTGGAATCGCGTGTTTATTTTAACGTGTTGGTTAAAAAAACTCGTCAGTGACCAACTGAAGAAATTCCTTTTCAAAGGAATTTTATGCTGGCGTACAGTACATAAATTCTCACACGATGTTTGGACAGTTGAAACCGTCAAATAACATTGCGGGTTTACTACTGGAAACTTCCTTTAGCTCGGTTATGAGTGCATCGTCTGCATTGTCCCGCCATCCTAGAAGACCCGTTTGGTTAAATGTTCGTGAGGGACATTTGAGAACTTAATATGCAATCTTATTTTTTTGAAAAGACACGCCCCTGACATAGTCGATGCTATCTGGTAGAAACATAGAGATTCCCCGACCCTTTTCTTCATTTCAGTCCATGGGCAGAGTCCGAATGCCGTCCAACAAGACTTCTGTGGTTTCTATCTGTTCATTTAGCTATGTCTCGGTTAGAGCTTACAAGTCAGATTGAAGACTGGTTACAGTCAGATTGATTTCATCAAATTTGCTGAATAGACTCTGTACATTTGTGGAAATCATCATCATATTATTCCTTTCCTTCGATCTCTGGAAACTATACGCATGTCCCATTGATGGATATTCCGTATAACGTACCCAATCCACTATGTCAAGTTCGAATATGCAGATGTTTTGTGCAACTGACGGTCAGTGTATTTGCCATTGATTTCTTCGGATAACTCAACAGAAACGAGAACTGTATTTGTAAGACCCAGTTATCGGCCATTTTGAGATTTATTTATCGCTGTCGCTCTCACGCTTTCTCAGTTCTGCTACCGGTGCTCTCTTTTCCATCCGACTGGTAGGTAATAGTAAAGATAAAAACACACTGCGCTGGTTGATTCGAAGATCGGACTTTTGAAAAAAAGAGTTCTGCCAGTTGTTAGCATCCTAGGACTACTTGCGGCGGTTCCGGTCAAGCTTCCTCCATGTTATTTATCTCTAAAAGGGTTGGACAAAAGATATTTTGAGTTTCGACCGCCATAATTTGTTCTTAAGCGTCACTCAGTAACCTGTCGAATGTCCGAAAATCATTTTTAGATGATTCTTTTAAAGTCTCAGCAGAAACCTCCGGAAATTCCTGAACTACCGAGCAACGTGATCTGTCAGGGAAACGATTGATGACTGTATCCTGCATACTTTCAAGGATGCATTCACATTTAGAGGTGGAGGAAGTGTAGCTCCTGTCACACTTATGACAACGACAGGCAATATTCAGGTGCCATCGTCAAGGTCGTTTGCGCAAAATTCCTGTTTACTTGTATAAGCAGATTTGTTACCGTTATACTATTGTCACTGGTATTCGCGGCTGCATTTTCTGGTTCCTCACCTGTATTTTGACATGCTACTGGTACAGTATTATTTTGGACTTGATTTGTTTTTCGATTTGCCTGAGTCTTACACTGATAACGTCCTGTTGGTCATTAACGTTCTGTTGCATGCACGTTCTTAGATCCGTAAGACCAGCATCCGATTTTTTCAACTTCGAGCATGACATATGCCCAACGATCGCATGATTTATCCTCTTATTCCTAAATTCTTACGCTTATGACGATTATGGGGTGCTGTGCCGACCCGTGCATGCAAACATTAAGGAGGCGAGTGCAGACATTAGATGTGAAAGTAATCTTAACAAGCTTTGCTCTAAATTTGGTGCCGCTGCTGCTCATGATACTATCGTAAAATTGCTGACAGTCCATGGACGTCGAACTAGGGAAAAGACGCATTTTCACTTTTGAAACTATAGCGAATATCTCGAGTTTGTTTTGTGTGGCATATAATGGGCAGTTAGGACTCAATGTCGCGAATAGATAATTTATCAGATCCCATCTAACAGACTTACGCGCCACAAATAAACTCAAATTAGCAAATTAACTGTAGCATTTAAGATTTAACGGTATAAATGCGTGTCTCAAGGAAAGCTTGATACGATAAAAAGGAATCATCTCGCAGAAGTTGAACAGTACTTACCGACATCAACTCGTAACTTCTGTTTGTTTTAATCATCTGTTCACAATTCGTCTCTCGGTCTTTCAGTTCGTCCGAGCTAACGGTGGTGTTATTTCACGCACACCATACTTGGGGTGTATTTATTAACACTTTCCTGGTAATCCTTTCCTTCTTGTTTTTATCCTTGAGGTCTGCCTATTGAACGGTGATAATACGTTCTGCTTACCTTTTCTTTCGGTCTGTACCTCGTACGTTTTATGTAAAGCGTAAATTGGTAAGATGAAAAAGTGCCAAGCGCCCCTTGGCGCTGAAGATAATCGGCAGTGTGCATAATGCATTACACGGTGTAGACCGTATGCACCTCACTGAATAGGGCAGAAAATCGTCGATTGAATAGTCGCAACAACTGCCTTCAGTAGCCTATATTATTACTAAGTGTCTGGGCTGGCTAGTATTCTAAGAAGAGTGAAGAGCACCACGTAGTCTGAAATGACTGTTAGGCAGAATTTCACAGAATTCTAAAACGTCCACGTGTAGTACAAACTTTTGGAACTCTGTTGCTTTCCATGACTCAAAGTCACTTCAACACGTGTTGAGGTAGGTGCCTACCTCGCTGAGAAAATTCAGTAGGAAGGTAAGTGTTAAGCAAACATATATTCTGGTCTATTGCCTGAACTTCCGTTGACTTAAGAATGGGTGGCGTCGTGCAACCGGTCGCTTTCGACCGACGACTCCTAACCCATAAACTCAGCAGCTTATTCACAACACCTAGATACACGTCATGTAGTGGATCAAGAAAAAAATCGGAAATTAATTTTAGATTATAAATTAGAGATGGAGAGATGCCAACTCTGTGCTTGTCGTCTATTGGCTGCATAAAGTCCTCATCCTTCCTCATTCCTTGCCCTTCCTCTAGATAAACTACTTTTTCCTTATAAACTGACGCTGTACAACCTTCGCAGCCATGATAGGCATTGATTTCTTGATTTGTTTAACAAAGGCCCTAACAGGCGCATCACGAACTCGACTGCGATATGGACGTCAATTGAGCTCTTGAGTTGGTCTAAACAGATTCCCTGTTTCTGAACTGTTTTACAGAATTCGTAAACGTCTGACAGCTTACAGTTTCCGCGATAAATACCTACGGAAAATACGTCATTGACAAAGCGCCGCACCACTCTTCCTAAAATAGGCCAAATTTCCGTCCTCGATTTTCTATAAACCTAAAGACCGTCAATAGCCAAGTTTTTAGCCACATTATCTGCTGCGGTGACTGTATTAATATGCAGTAGTCTACGAATTTGCCTTACCAAACCTACGTGCATGTATTCACCACTACCCATGGGGTTTACCTACAAGATATACGAAGCTCCGAAAAGCGTCCTTGGATCGATTGGCAGTTCGGGCACAATAGGCCTTAAGATATCCAAAAGATCTCGCAAGTGTGAGTGCCCTATGTTGTATCCAGGAGCTCAATTTCGCAACTTCTGAATCGTTCAATTATCTGTTTGAATACAGCAACTACTTCCACTTGCCGTCTCTTGTGAAACTTCTGGATGGACGAATATCGCTGGACTGGTGGTAAGCAATGTGCACACTTCCGATTCACGAGACTCTCGCCAACGAATTGTATTTAGCTAAAGCATTCTCCGAAGTCTGTTCCGATCTGTGTCTTTTCTGGACAATTTCTTTAATATCACGACGAGCCTTGTCTGCATGTCTCCTTATGCGACGTGTACGTGTGTTCTCAGACTCCTAGGTAAGCATTATTACCAAAATGTGAAAACAGTTAACAAGTATCAACCAAAAACAGCAATGTCACTCAAGCGCAGTCACGTCACGCCGTCAACACATGATAATGACGCTTACGCGCGCGCGCAGGCAGAACGCGATTAAAGAAAGGTGACTAACGAGCACTCAGATTACATTTAAGAGGCAACCAATGACGCGTCGGGGACTTATATCTCGAAAATTCGTCATTTCAGTATATCGACTCGATATCCGTCTGCTACTAGGGATATAGCCAGTGTTACATAAATTCTCGTCTACACACTCCCTGTTCTAGGTTACTGCGTGTGTTGTGAACTGCCTGTCCTCAACTCAACCGAAACCTTTGACGGGTACGAAACCCTACTGTTTAAATAACCATCTTGGTGTGCGCCTCGCGCGTTTAAAGGGGTTGGGACCTTTGGTTTACGTCGGTAGGCATAAAGTCATGGTTGTGGTTCATATTGAAGGACGTTACCATAATTCCGCCCTTCTTTCTGTAAACCGCATTAAAAAAATTGGGTGTTTCGTGCCAAGTAATAGTAGTCGATATTTCCGACTGGACTGATTTTATTAGTGACTTCATCCAAGTCACTCAGTGACTGGGATTCCGGTCGGTCTGTAACCCAACAGGAAACCCTAGTAGCAAATCCGTAGCGAAGTGACAGCGAGTCGCTTAGGATAAGTCGCGACAGGTATGACCGACTATCGGATTTTGTCTATTCGGTCGCTACGGAAACAACAGCGAAAAGTCGCGATACGACGCCACACAGCTCCGGGACGGGACATCATTCCTTTGTGGACTATGCCTTTTAGCACCTACTAATTCGCAGGTTCTCCAGGAAAAATTTAACTGAAGGCTTTTTTCATGTAGTAAAAGAAAAGATTTTATTGTAAAGAAAAAGGCACAACTTATCTTCAGATCTCCTGCGTCCGGTTCCAAGCCAAGGCGTATTAAGAAAATGGTTATACTAGCTGCCAGAGTCATGCAGTATTGGATCTGGCTGTGAACGTTGTTTCGTAGAGCGTCGAAAAATCTTAACCGCCTTCTGATGGCGGCCTCGAGCTCATACACATCTACTTGGTCCCTCTGTTCCAAGCCGCGTAAACATCTATTTAGCAAAATGAATTACACATAAGCAATAGAGTACCCTTTGATGACCTCGTATGCCTGTGAACCACAGGATTTCCTTCGGTTTTTGCCTCGTCGTCGAGGAGGGCATAAAACACCCTCATGAAGTAATCATCCGTGCTGTGTCCGCCGAGAGAGACCAAGAATTTCCTCTATATGTCGTAAAATCCGTGAGACTTTACTAGTTGATTCCTGACCAACGAGTCATGAGGCCTACTGTTCACCTCCGGGAAGTCGAATTTCGTGCATATGGGCCGCCTTATGGAGTTGGTAGGCAAGGCAGCGTCCCACATTCTCGGAACAGACTGCAGATAGTTAACAAGCATCTGCATGGTGTGCAGGCTCCCATGGATTTTGTGTCGCAAAGCTCGTTAACTACCGAATCATGACAATAGCAACGAAGTTGGACGACCAAACAAGAATAGTACCTGATAGACAGGTGTACGTTTATCCGCCGCGCGTATACGTAAAGAGCACAAATATGTGAAACAAGCTAACACAATGAGGTTTGTTTCCGGTGTGATGAGTCCTGGCCAGGGAGGTCGCATCTGGAGCGGATGCAAGCGTAACATTCTCCCCATCGTCGATACCGAAAGGAATCAGAGCTGGATCGCACCTTTATTTTCCTTTTCGAAAAGTTGTTGTATGCGTGGGACTGAAATGCCAACTCAGGTCGTGCTGTGACAGGGCCTTGTTCTACTGTGTGTGAATGACCGGTAACTTAGCTCAACTCGTTTGGCAGACTGAAGTTCTACGCTTCCAATCGATAATCTACACTCCAACAAGGAGTTTTCCCAAACGACAGACCCAGCCTATCTGTCGTCCTTGCTATTCTTTTTCTGTCGTTCCCCTCTGTCGCCATTTCTCTTGTTGATCAAATACATATTCCCTTGTTATCAAGTCGTTCGCGATCCTTGGTTTTATTCGTGTTTTGTGTGACTGCATAGAATAACCCTCAACCGCCTGCAGACGAAAACGCCAAGGACGTTGCAGTCGTTGCGCCAAAAAGGGGTAACGGAAGTCAGCCGTATCTGAATCTGTCAGCCTCTCTTCGCTTACTTACGGACAGTACGTTTTTACAAAATTAATTGATTGAGAGTAAAGCTTTAGTCTTTTTGCGTCGACGGTCTGATGGCGTATCTTATCGTCCTTATCAGCACAATCATCGCCATTAGAGGAAAATTTTGTGAAGGTTCTTTAAAGGCTGTAACGGTAGAGGATGCCTATGGAGTCAAACCACCAACTGCTTGTGAAGTATGCAAGATATTTGCTATCGAGTTCATGGACCGATTTGAAGAAACGTCGAGTTCTGGACTTATTACCGTCGACTACGGCACTGAAGATGGACGACAGCTTCCCTACGCAACATCGTTAGCCTTTCTGCTATCCTAAAAATATTTTAGTGAGTTACGCTTGATAGAGATTCTCCAGGAACCTTTTCTTTGCGATAGGATGTTGCGATACAGGGTCCACAAAGAGCGCACTGATAGTACCAGGTTTGAGAAACGAGTTCCACAAACGTTCGAAGTATTAAAAGAACTACTGTAAGCTTTTAACTTTTAATCATTTGTGCAGAGGTCGCGGTGTAGACGTTAAAACTGACGTCCCTCATGAGCTATGGGATTCACCATCAGCGGAGATTACACTTCTTCAGAAATCCGTATATTTCTAAGATTTATTTCATTTCTTTAGTGTCAGACGATTTTAGAAGAATATGAAGGAGTTATTGAGGACTGGTTTTACAATCACCAACTCGACGAACCCTTTGACAGCTTCTTCTGTGCCAAGCATATGTTGGAGGGCCTTCCGTCCGGTGGGTTGTTTTGATTGTTCTGCTTCGAAAAGGTAGCCAATCAGTCGTACTTAACTACACCGCCCTCCATACTTGCAAACTACTGTCACGAATAGCATGGCTTATAACCTGCTTATAGAGTCTAGCAGACGAGCGTTATACATTATCTGAGACTGCAATTTCTTCCTCTTCAAAAGTTATATAGGTTCTGATGTTGAATTTCTTCGATGACTTCTATGGCATCCGTCAAGTTCTAACTTGCATTTTCTTTACCCCATTTGCCTTCTAAGCCCTGTACTTGCCTTTTTTAAAGCGTTTGATCTGTCACCAGATGTGCATAATTATCTAACCAAGCTTGCTACCGTCTCCTCACCACTAATCTTGGTGCGGCACACATTCTTATGCCTGTTCGGTTCTCGGGATTTTTATTCTGTTCTCATTTCCTTTTAACCAGCCTAGTACATTCACACGTGTCGGCGGCAGTTGCAGCCACTTTTATCCAAAGTGCGGAAGTGCGTTTTGACTAGGACGGTTTACTTAAGTGGGGTTGTAGTGTTGATCATCGTCCAGCGTATTTCCATGATATTTCAGTCATGCCGGAGTAGTGGCTTTTAAATGTACTTCTTTTCGGCTGTCTGCAAAAATCGCACTCAGTAAAATAACTACTTAAGTGGTGTGTTTTTTCATCGGTTTTCCATGCGCTCCGGAATTCAAATATATGTTATAGAGAACATGATCGAAAAATGCTTTTTATACCCCTTCGGTAGAAAATCACGTCATCTTCAAAGTTTGTACTTTAATAAAGGATGTATTTAGGTTGTAAAAACTTCATGATTATAGGACCTTTTAAGACCGTAAAATATCACTCCAAATAGCATAGTATTTGTCCGTCTGTTAATGCTCCTGCGAAGTATGTAACATAGCTAACATCAAGTGAAAAATCTTATGGTATCTTCTTACTGGCCCAGAGGGATGTTCGATTCCCCTTGCATGGAAAGTATACGGACTCTAGGCTGGGAACCCTAGACGCACGTGCAACAACAGGTCGGGCTCAAAATGCTTTGGGAACAAAAAACTTTAATCTAGATATACCCCTCTGAATATGAAATCTAAAGATTACGAGATTTGCCACAAAATGGGTACAATAAAGCATATCTATAATCATATTTTTTACAGGGCATATCTGAATTCGTGAGCGCACGGAAAAACAATGAAAAAAACACTATTTAGCTAGTTATTTTTTTGTCGAATGGGGTTTTTACAGGAGCCTGAAACGAAGTGCTTTCGAAAGCCGACATCCTGGCGTGACTAAAGTATAATGGGGTTATGCTGCACATAAGTAATCCCTCTTAATCGAAAACGCATCTCAGAATTTCGGTCAACATTTCACAAGATCGGTCACTGGCTGGACGCACCCACATCATGTTCTTCCATAAATGCTGCTCAATATGCGCTCGTCAGTCTCTATTTATCATCGATTTATTATTTTTTGGAGTTACGATTTTCCCTTAAATTTACAGACTGTTTAAAGGAGACTTTACCACAACCTTCCATACCTGCAAATGAACAAGTCGGTAAGTAATTCACTTGGCGTTCGATAGAATGGGCTTCATGTAAGTACCTCCTGCTCTCTACCATTAGTCATTGCTCAAGGGACGACTTCGTCCAAACATCTTCTAGGCGTCTTCCGTTTTGAGTTTTACTGGGGCTCCTTGAAAGCCTCCCTTTTAAAAACTTGTAATTGGTGTGGCTGCGATCATGCCTGATCTAGCTGGCCTCGATGATGTCCCGAACTGTACCTCTCCATGCATCACTTGTGGAGACAATGTCGTTTTTACTCTGTCCATTCGGCAGCAGCCTCCCTCCGAACTGTCTTCAAGTTCTTCAAGTTGATAGCTACTAATCCCGAGAGGTGCCTTCTCTTGGTGAGGGATGCAGCTTGGTCTTCCTAGCGCTCATGGGTAAACTGGTTGATTTAGCGACCTCGTTTACCCGTGACGCCACAGATTTCAGATCACCAAAACCTGCAGCAAGTAAGGCAATCTTATCGGCATAGTTGAGATCGGTCAATCGGTGTCTGGGCGCAAACTCAGCACCATCGCTTTCGTGTAGTGCCCTCCCGAGAATCCAGTCAATGGCGTAGTTGAGCAGAATGGGCCACAGGATACAACCCTGTCGAACGCCAGATCGAGTACCAAACGGTTGGGAAAGATTGTTTTGGACTGGAACTTGCGCGGTGGTGGAGCGATAATAGGCCTTGATAATGGCGGTACGCCATCTAATGCCCATATCCACCACAGGGGCTCACGATGGACGGGTTCGAACCCGGCGCAAGTCAACAAAGCAGACGACCGTCGGTTGCTTGTAGCTGTGGCAAAATTTGAGAATGTGCCTCAGTGTGAATACCTGCTCTACACACCCACGTCCAACCCGAAATCCGGCTTGATTGGGCCTCGTCCTAAAGTCGCACACGGCCTGGAATCGCTTGAGTAGGACAATATCGAAGATCTTCACAGCAACGTCAATGAGGCTTATGGCGCGGTAGTTCTCGCATCTTGTCTTATCTCCCTTCTTGAGGATAGGTACGAGGATGCTCAAGCCCCTCATCAGGAGCAACCTCGTCTCTCCACGCTTGTTGAATCATCTTATGAAGCCAGAGCGCCAGAGTGTCGACCCAAGACTTGTAGACTTCAGCGGGTATACCTTCCTCTCCGGGTGCCTTGTTATTGCGTAGTTTTCGTATGACATCGACGCCTTCTCCCTTAGAAGGGGAGGGGGGGTCGCATGACACTGCATAGGTTGGATAGGGAAGAAACTCCGTTGCAGAGGAGTGCAAGGGCGCGGTGGGTTGGGTATCGAAGTTGAGGTGATGGTCGAAGTGCTCACGCTAGCGCACGGCTTTGGCCGAGTTGTCAGCAATAAAATCGCCATTCAAGTTGCAAACAGAGCCACTCAGTGCTGAGGGCTTACTACTAATTTGGCAAATAATTTAATAGAGTTTTCGAGTGTCACCAACGTTCGAGGCCTGTTCTATGAAGGTCGCTATTTCAGCCCAATATTGCTTCCCGTCCTCCCTGGCCGGAGTTGGCGGAAGGAGTTATCATTACGGGACCTAGCTAGAGCCGTCTGAGCAGACAACCTCAGGGTTCTTCCGCTGATCCAGTCACTGCGGCGTCGCTGGGCATATCCAAGAATTTTCTCGACTGCCCCATAAAATGATGTTTCCAGTGGCAACCACTAGTTACTGCCCTCTCCTTCGGCTCGGGTCGTAAAACAGGACCGGACTTCTCTTCTCAGGGGCTCGGCAGTGCTGGTTTGCCGGATTTTTGCGACATTGAGACATCTAGGTCGTAGCACTTTTGGCACAGATGGGAGATGGACTTTCAAGCGTGTACGAACGAGGACATGGTCCGACGCATGGGCGCTACCAGTCTCGACACAACGCTATCGTGCCGTGCCATCGTAAACCCAGCTGCAGAACCTTGAGCTGATTAGAATTTAATCAGTCTGACTAGCCGTATGACCGTCGTTGAATACCAGGTCGGATGTTTGTTGCGATACTGGGAGCATGTTTTGGTGATAAGCAGTCGGCTCTGATCAACAAAGTTCAGCAATCTCTCGCCGCTGTCGCATCGAAAAGCAAGCTCAAAGCGACCAATAAGATGACTGCAGAGTCGCCGGGTCCAGTCCGGCCATTCCAATCCTTGACAACAATCAGCAGACCACAGCAAGGGATCCTTCCAACTAACGCTTGCAACTGCGCGTAAAACCCCTCTTTATCGTGCTGTTCGGCAGCCGAGGTCTGTGCGTACACAGAGTCTATAAAGATTTTCGTGATGTGACCCTTCAGTCGCACGCAGGCCGTCCGGTCATTGACTGGTTCCCAAGCAAGTTAACCGAGGTCCACTTGTTGTGAGGATGGAATCGCCACACCGTGTTTACCGGAAGAGTCGCGTAGGCCGCTGTGGTACTGGGTGGACTGTGAGTCGATTCCAGAGGTCTTTATTTCCCGAGAGCCTGAGACAGGAAGTCGGACTTAAGACAGGCAGCAGACATCCACGTTATACCGATAAAGGCTGCGCGCAGTCAGACCCTGGGTACCAGGGTCCTGGAACATTCGCTCATTCCAGCATCTAGTACCCGACTGAGTTGTCCAGCTTGCATACTCTTCATCCGCACCAATTGACGAGGGTTGTGGAGTGCGTCGGTTTCCGCGAACGTCGTAGCATGGGTTGCAATACTGCTGTCGGACATACTTCATGAGGTTTCCTGGGAATTTTGAGTACAGGTGGGTCCCCAACGGCTTCTCGGGATGTTTGTTCGAGGCTCTCTCCTCTAGCGTTCTTGCTCAAGGGCCTAACCACAAGGCAGCTGTGGCAAGCA